GACGGAGGCGTTCCCAGACGCACTCCGATTGCCCCCCCCCTATCGTCGAGATGAACTATGGTCACTGTTGGTGCAGAGGGGGTTGCTTATGGCTGCTGCGGCAGGGCCATGCCTGGCGCCTGGCAGGACTCCATTCCGTGCCGCAGTCTGCGTCGTTGTCCTTGCCTCGCAGTATAAGTCCCACCCCCTTTCCTTTGTCCCCCTCTTTTCTCTGTGTCTGTATCCTCTCCTCCCCCCTTTACCGACGCCTCTATTCATAGCGCTGCCCATTTGGATTCATACGTTATCACGCTTGCTTTCGCTCCTCACCACCGTCTGCTCTCTCCTTGAGTGTGTTTGTGTGTGGGCGTGTGTGTGTGTGTGCGCGCGCGTGGGTGCTAGTGTGTTAGTTTCTGTGAAGGAAGGTGCCGCTGTTTGCCTACCCATCGGATGTGACCTCAGCAGAGGGTCGGGCGCCAGGCCGAGGTCGAGCGTCAGGCGCGGGCGGTGGTTGGGCTCGACGCCTTGGCGACAGCCGCCCGGCCTTCATGTCGAGGAGAGAAATAAGGGTGGGAGTCGGGGAGATGCTGTGATGGTGGCGGGTAGGCCGGAGGAGAGGGGGGGGGGGATGACAAGAGAAGAGACAAGGGATCGTCCTCATTAGAATTCTAGTTGTGGGGTCGGGAGCGGGCGGCCTCACTGATCCACCCAAGCGATGCTCCCTCGTCATGACGGCTATGCGATGTAATTAAGAGCTAATGGGTAGTCAGAATCCGCAGGACAGTGCCAAACGGGGATGTGAAAATTGGCCAGTTGCGCGGGGTGTGGCAGTATACTTGAACCACAAGCGTCTCTTTGCAGGATGAGGCGGGATCTGCGGCAGTCTTCGCCGTGGAGCTGGACGACTACCTGGGGGGCTCACCCATCGAGCACCGAGAGGTGCAGGGCCACGAGTCGGACCTGTTTCTCTCCTACTTTAAGTCGGGTGAGTCTGTTGTCGGCGCCCTTTTGTGGCTTGCGGTGTGGGAAACGTCGCAAAAGCCCCCCCCCCCTTTTCCTTCCCTTCCCAAGGCCATGACTGGAGGACTCATCGAGGACGCTACAGGCTGAGTGCATGGTGGTCTCTTTGTAGAGACTGAGAGGGACTTTGTGACCTATATGAAGAGAGAAGGGGTAAGGGTG